ATTTCTTTGGGGGGCCGCACAGCCCTCCATGTGCTCGCCAGAGGTAGCCTGAATGCCATTAGGTACCGAGATGAGATCCTCAGACCCCTTGTGAGACCATATGCTGGTGCGGTTGGCCCTGGGTTCCTCCTAATGCAAGACAATGCTAGACCTCATGTGGCTGGAGTGTGTCAGCAGTTCCTGCAAGAGGAAGTCATTGATGCTATGGACTGGCCCGCCCGTTCCCCAGACCTGAATCCAATTGAGCACATCTGGGACATCATGTCTCGCTCCATCCACCAACGCCACGTTGCACCACAGACTGTCCAGGAGTTGGCGGATGCTTTAGTCCAGGTCTGGGAGGAGATCCCTCAGGAGACCATCCGCCACCTCATCAGGAGCATGCCCAGGCGTTGTAGGGAGGTCATACAGGCACGTGGAGGCCACACACACTACTGAGCCTCATTTTGACTTGTTTTAAGGACATTACATCAAAGTTGGATCAGCCTGTAGAGTGGTTTTCCACTTTAATTTTGAGTGTGACTCCAAATCCAGACCTCCATGGGTTGATACATTTGATTTCCATTGATAATTTTTGTGTGATTTTGTTGTCAGCACATTCAACTATGTAAAGAAAAAAGTATTTAATAAGATTATTTCATTCATTCAGATCTAGGATGTGTTATTTTAGTGTTCCCTTAATTTTTTTGAGCAGTGTAAATATGAGTGCCTTCTGAAAGGGCATTTTCCCACCAGAGATGTTTCCATCAAACTGACTTATTGCGGATAAAAGGCTGTGTGTGATGATGAAGTTCACATAAAAATAACTTTTGCTGTTAAATTCCCATATACAAATGAAGAATACAAACCCTCATTCCATCGCATTTCCAACTCTACTAATGGATTTGTCACACAAATTGTTAATTTGTATAGTAAACGTGCCCACTCAAGTCTTGGCACGTGTGCTCTGGCCAACAGCTGGCAGATACAGTGTGGGTAGGCTACATACATTATAAAATTATTATGGATAAGAGCAATATTATTTTTATATGTCAAACGGCAGCCATGCATCGATCATCATGTCACCAGAATTAGCCCCTTGAGATTTATTGGAAAGGAGCATCAAGCTCATCATGTGCACTTTCATCACCCTGTGAAGTTCATCATAACTTATTTTTATCTGAGTGTCCTACTTACAGTTTCGACTTAAATCTGCTTGAAAATCTGTGGCATTACTTGAAAATGGCTGTCTAGCAATGATCAACAAACATGGGGGGAGGAGGGGTATTTTGTGTAATTTGTTGACAAACAATTACGATGAAATCAATTTTAATCCCACTTTGTAACACAACAACATTTGGAAAAAGTCAAGGGGCGTGAATACTTTCTGAAGGCACTGTAAATGGAAAGCAGCTTAGCCATCAACTGGAGAGAAATCAGGTGAACAAACTTCAATCAATGATCATCAATGATTGACTGATTTGGTAAACAAACTTGACATATTGCTTTCACCCCACACCCACACCCTCTAACCTGAGGTGACTCTTTTTTATACACACAAAATCTTCTTAAATTACTGTATCCACTCCCTCTCTCTGAGTGTAACAGAAATACAAATAATAAAACAAAAAATATTTATTGTCTCATCGCTGCAACTCCCCAACGGGCTCGGGAGGCAAAGGTCGAGTCATGCATCCTCCGAAACATGACACAAAGAGTGATTTATAAAAACCAAGCACAGAAACACATGAGCGCAGTTGAACTTTATTATGTGTTTGTTTAGTTGTTGATTGATCTGAAGCAGGTCTTGTGTCATGAACTAGGGGCGCGTTCAGCAGGACACAACGTTTTGGAACGTTCAGATAGAAATATGTTATGTAGAACAAACACGCCTCTCCGACATGTAAAACAAGCAATCATGTCAGCTCTATTCAAGGCTTTCCATCTGCAACGTTTGGCCACTGAACATGTGGCCCTGGAGAGTGTTGACACGGCAGGCATGGGGCCCAGGTCACATGTTCGTTAGCGCCAGTCTTCTCACCCCCCTCTCTATCATACCCATCCTGCCTAGCATGGGCTGATGCTGGGCGCAGATTACACCCTGCTGGAACAGAAATGCCAGTCTCAGTGCCCTCCTGCAGAGAGAGAGAGCGAGACCGAGGAGGGAGGGGAGGTTGAGGAGAGAGAGGGAGGGGAGGTTGAGGAGAGAGAGGGAGGGGAGAATGAGGGAGGAACGGGAGATAGAGGGGAGGTTGGAGGGAGGGAGGGGAGGTTGAGGAGATATTGGGAGGGAGGGGAGGTTAAGGGCTGTGACAGTAGGGCTCCAGCAGTTTGGTTGATTAGTTTATTTGTGTCTGTGTTTGTCAGAAAAGAAAGGAGAAAGAGAGTGGCGAGATTTCTTGGATTTGTTGTTGTCATAATACATTGTAGAAATCAGGCTAGCGTTTTTTTTTTTTGGGGGGGGGGGATCAGCTTTAATATTGCAGATAGATTGTAACTTCCATCAATGTAATTGTCTGCATCACTTCCAATACCCCATATGGTTTTTTTTTTTCGCGCAAATATATATATATATATATATATATATATATATATATATATATATATATATACATACATATATATATATACATATATATACATACATACATACATACATACATACATACATACATACATACATACATACATACATACATACATACATACATATACGCATACATATAAATACATATACATACATATATATATACACATATCCTTTAAAAAAATATATTTCCCTTTATTACTTTCCAATCCCACCATCCCTTCCCTAATCGGAGTAAACTAGTGAACAACCCTGTTGCCACCTGAAGCTCCCGGCTTAGTTCTGATCATAGTTTCCCTGGTTCTGATTCTATTTCTATGATTCTGATTCTATTTCTGTGGTTATGATTCTGACTTGTTCTATCAGAGCTGGCATTACAGCATTACAATCAATTATACAATGTCAATACATTTCATTTTTGTGACATCATTAAAAAGTGGCTTGAAAAAAATTAGCAGGATACTAGTATCCCCATATGCCAAATGACATCTCTCAATGTTCACCAACCTGAAATGCATACGGCAATGCATTTTTACACCAGTATGTGTTGACCACAGCCAATGTTGAGTTAACACTGTGTATCCTACTTTAAATGTTATTTGCACAGTATCAGATGGAATGGTAACCAAATGAATCACTAAGATACAGCAATAATTCAAGAATGTTTTCAACTGACTGTTCTGTAGAGTGGATCAGACCTACCACCTAGTGGTCACTGCTAATTGAGGCTCTTCAGAGCTCATGTATGTAGTATACACTCTACAGTATGAGGATGTTACAGACTGACGTGATTTCCTGGTAGATGTGTTGAGCTGATAACGCTCCTGTGAGGTTAGGATAGGTTGGCCCTGGCTCCTGTACGATTAGGTTAGGTTGACCCTGGCTCCTGTACGACTAGGTGAGGTTAGGTTGACCCTGGCTCATGCTATAATGGTTAACTGAATATGTGGACTGTGGTGTGGCCTTACAATCCCTCACTTTGTGTGTCTGTGTGTGTGTGTGCCACAGTTAGTCGTGCGTGTCTTGATTAGACCTTGTCTTGTGCAGTGACGAGAGTTAGCATGCTGGGAGTTATAATATACAATCCTTGTTCTTGGTGTTTGATGATGATGTTTTGTTACTGTCCACTACAGCTGAAATATATATATATCTTATTCAGAGTAATATGCATTTCACTTGTGTTACTTAACATTTTCCTTTTGATCTATAGCATTTCCTTCAAACAGAGAATGCTAAATGTTTTATTCCATGGGATTTAGTTAGTGTTTAGAACAACACGTGTGAATAGATAAATGAATGTAAATACTATGTTGTCTCTATGCAGATGTATAATGCAACGGATATGATTTGAATGTCCATCCATTGTAAATATGAACTTCAAATGAGTTTGTTACACTAATATGCTAGGAAGTAGAAGTTTACTTTTTCTATGAGGGTGTCGTCACATTTTTATGTGTTATGAATGTAAACGTAAACCTATAGTAATCAGTTGTTGTTTGTGTCAAATGGATCGTGCATTTATCAATTTCCGGTTCTGTTATTATCAAATGTAATTCAACCAAGGACAGCCAACTCATGTGAATAACCTTAGTTTACCATATTGGATATGGTTACATCATCTTGATTTTTTTTTGCGATTATTACACGTTTATAGGCTACAGAAGGTGGGAGGGAACACCCAATCCAAACTTATTTGAGTGTAAACTGTCGGTGGAAAGAGAGAGCCCTTAGTAATGCAAAACGCTAAATTAATGCACATAAAATAAACCTTTTAGTAAACCTATCATGTCTGTGAGTTGGCGGTCTGGTTAAGGTGTTGAAATTCACACAGTATGTATGCCTTGAAACCCATTCCAGTGGTTTTTGACTTCAGATACCTAAGGTTGGGATTCAAGCCGATCGTGGGATTTTATGCATTGCGGTTTTTAAAGGAAATGTTCCCACATTTGCAGAGATCCCCATTCACAGTAAACGCTGCATATGTCGGCACAATCGGAAATTGCCTTTAAAAGCCGCAATGCATATAACATATGTCTTGGATTGCAATGCCTATAACATATTATTGGATTGAATCCCGGCCTAACTCAGCTTTATGTGAACGCATCAGGTGACATTAAAGCACTTTTAAAACAGTGTCCCAAAGTGTGTGGTAGTATTTGTGTTCAGTATTTCTGGAGGTCTGTACTTTCAGTTTACAGGACCGTTCATGACGTCTTCTTCCTTAGCCTCTACGTACTCTTGATCTTGGTGCCATCTTGTTGCCATCTTGTGGTAGTGAAAAATGGACTGGCAAAGTATCAACTCTCCAAAGAATAATCTGCACATACCGACAATTTAATTTGGATTTAACATAGGCCTACAGAACACATTTAGAAAACATCAACTACTGAAGATCTATCAGGGGCCATGGTGTAGGCTGGAGGGGATAGTGGGTTCAGGTGAAGAAGTAGAGCTGTTTCTCCATCTCCATGTCAATGTCTCCATCATCATTGTTCACCAACCGCTCAGTCACCGGAGGTAGTGAGCGAGGCATCAGCTTCTTCCCAGTCTGAAATCACAAAATTCACATTAGTGTTTGTGTCGATATATCTATACACCGATATCCGGTAAGGTTTGTCATGTATGATGCTTTCTTTTGTAAGGTCTGTGACCAACATTTAGTGTGTTGTCTGTGTTGTCACTCACAGGTCTCTTGGTGTCTCTCTGCGCTCTCTCCAGGGCTTTACGCAGGCGCTCCTCTTGCTGCATCTTCTGCACACAAACCTTCTCCTCCCTTAGCCTGGAAACACAGACACATACAGTTTCTTAGGTACACCACCCCATTCACTCCTACAGACAGTGAATCAAATAGCTCGCTCCTACAGACAGTGAGTCAAATAGCTCGCTCCTACAGACAGTGAGTCAAATAGCTCGCTCCTACAAATCTTAACGCTACAGCATACAATGACATCCTAGATGATTCTGTGCTTCCAACTTTGTGGCAACAGTTTTGGGGAAGGCCCTTTCCTGTTTCAGCATGACAATATCCCCGTGCACAAAGCGAGGTCCATACAGAAACGGTTTGTTGAGATCTGGGTGGAATAACTTGACTGGCCTGCACAGAGCCCTGACCTCAACCCCATGGAACACCTTTGGGATGAATTGGAACGCCGACTACGACCCAGTCCTAATCGGCCAACATCTGTGCCCGACCTCACTAATGCTCTTGTGACTGAATGGAAGCAAGTCCCAGCAGCAATGTTCCAACATCTAGTGGAAAGCCTTCCCAGAAGAGTGGAGGCTGTTATAGCAGCAAAGGGGGGACCAACTCCATATTAATGCCCATGATTTTGGAATGAGATGTTCGACGAGCAGGTGTTCACATGCTTTTGGTCATGTAGTGTATGTTAGCTATATGACTAACCCCTGATATGTTAGCTAACTGACTGGCCCCTGATATGTTAGCTAACTGACTGACTACTGATATGTTAGATAACTGACTGACCCCTGATATGTTAGCTAACTGACTGACTACTGATATTTTAGCTAACTGACTGACCCCTGATATGTTAGCTAACTGACTGACTACTGATATGTTAGCTAACTGACTGACCCCTGATATGTTAGCTAACTGACTGACCCTTGATATGTTAGCTAACTGACTGACTACTGATATGTTAGCTAACTGACTGACTACTGATATGTTAGCTAACTGACTGACCCCTGATATGTTAGCTAACTGACTGACCCCTGATATGTTAGCTAACTGACTGACTACTGATATGTTAGCTAACTGACTGACCCCTGATATGTTAGCTAACTGACTGACTACTGATATGTTAGCTAACTGACTGACCCCTGATATGTTAGCTAACTGACTGACTACTGATATGTTAGCTAACTGACTGACCCCTGATATGTTAGCTAACTGACTGACTACTGATATGTTAGCTAACTGACTGACTACTGATATGTTAGCTAACTGTTGTTGACCCACCTGCGTCTCCTCTCCTTCTCCCTGGCCCTCTCGGCCATGTGCATGCGGTCCTTCGGAATCAGCTCCACGTTCTCCAGCAGCTCCCCCATGCGGCCCTCAATGTTGGTCAGCATCTGCAGCGTGGTCAGGTTGGCCCCACTCTTCCCCACGTAGCTCCTGTACACCTCGGCCACCTTCCTGCCCAGGGCCTCCAGCATCACATCCTGTACAGAGGGTCAGTCAGTGAGGGTGAGCTGCCTCACACTCGCACTGTACCTCATTTGCCCTAGATTAGGACTGTATGGTGACCTTGCCCCTGTAGGGTTCACTCTGTGTACGGTATGTGTGTGTGTGGTCCTCTGTGTGGTCCTCTGTGTGGTCCTCTGTAGCTCAGCTGGTAGAGCACGGCGCTTGTAACGCCAAGGTAGTGGGTTCGATCCCCGGGACCACCCATACACAAAAATGTATGCACGCATGACTGTAAGTCGCTTTGGATAAAAGCGTCTGCTAAATGGCATATTATTATTACATATGAATGAAAGCGGTTGTGTGTGCTGTCTGTCTGTGAACAGTTCATGTTTACCTGGTCGTCTGCCTTGTATTTCCCAAAGGAGAAGAGTCGTGATTTGAGCTCCAGCTCTGCAGCCATGTCCTTCTCTCTCTGGATGGCATGGACAAGTACGTCTATCTGCTGGGTCAGCTGCTCTGTCTCCTGGTCCCTGGATACACACAAAGGATGTTTCAAATTTGACCAATTTTGAATGCTTTGCAGTCATGCATTCTTCACAGTATACTCCTTCAGGTGTTCTTGGAAGATTATTCTTGTAAGAATGGGAGAATGCACAACACAACAACACATTATGCTACACACAGGTAATGGCAGTTTGAATACAGGTAGTTAAATCACTATTGCCACTATGTAGATGTGAGGACAAGACATAAAGTGGTTCGGCTCTCTAACATCTTTTTGAGGGTGTTGTCCATAGTGTGGTTGAACTCCTCCATGGTCTCCTCTGTCTCTCTGGAGTTCTGGATCAGGGTCAGGTTCTGCTTCTCCAGGTCTTCCAGCAGGTCCAACAGCTGCTGAGGGTCAGTGAAGTACAGTTCCGGTTCCTGTGGGGTAGTGCATACACACAGGTTCAACAGTCAACCCTTACTTAGGTCAACGTTGAGGCTAATGTGAGACCAGGTGACTGATATTGCATAAAACGTATCTGACCTCATATTCAGGCAGTTTGCTCTCATCCACCGGTACTGTAACCTTCTTCCTAAAACACAACCAACATAAGGACATCAGTGGAGGCTGCTGAGGGGAGGACGGCTCATAATAATGGCTGGAACGGCGTTAATGGAATGGCATCAAACACATGGAAGCCATGTGTTTGCTGTATTTGATACCATTCCACTTATTCCGCTCCAGTCATTACCACGAGCCCGTCCTCCCCAATTAAGGTGCCACCAACCTCTTGTGACATGGATACAGTTAAATGGTGCAACAGAGACATCTTATCTCAGCAACACACTTTAGAACAGCCCTGTTCCTGGAGAGCTACCATCCTGTAGGTTCACTCCAACCCTGTTCCTAGAGAGCTACCGTCTTGTAGGTTTTCACGCCAACCCTAATCTAGGGCACCTAATTCTAATAATTAACTGGTTGATGAACTGAATCAGGTTAGGTACAACTGGGGTTGTAGGGAACAGGAGGATAGCTCTCCAGGAACAAGATTGGAGAGCCCTGCTCTGGAGTAATGATCCTGTCCTGGGGCTCCACTCACCGCTTGATGCTCCCTTTGGTTCTCATCATACTCTGTCTCTGGGGAGTCCTGGGGTCACACACAGGAGGCAGGTCCCTGGCCTTATTCTCTCTGCCTGAACAGAGAGAACACAGATCTCTAATGAACCAGACCAAGTGGATACCATAATCACAGTCTGTCAAATGTGACTGGATGTGATATGATGTGACGACTACTGTAATTGACATACGTCTGCTGGGTTTGACTGGCTCGGCTCGCTTAGCCTCCCTCTCCTTGATGGCAGCTTTGATCTTGTCCACCATGGCCCTGCGAGCCTTCTGTCTTTCCTGCCAGTCTGTAGGGGACAGCTTCAGCAGGAAGCCATTGTACAGGGTGAACTCCTTCAGGATCTCCTCGTTCTTGACGATGTCACTGTGTACACGTATGAACATGTGCCAACATGCTCAATTGCATGTACGCAGTAACATTTGTAAAGCTCACACCAACCACAAACAATGGCACACATCCAGAAGCCATCGCACAGAGTATGTGAACTTATGCATAACTCATACATAGTAAAATAAAGGATAATTTACTGTCTGTCATACTACCTTTTCACTGCCAGCATTTTGCCTGAGATCCTCTTGATCTCTGCAACCTTCTCCAGTTTGGCTTTGGTCTCGTGTTCAGCACTACAACAGTCAACAGGAAAGAAGATGAAGAGGGAAATACAGTCTTCTTGTTAGTTCAGTCATTCAAAAAAGTATCTTATTGTTACTATTCATAATAATCATTATACCCATAACTATCCACTTATATAAAAACAAAACAAAAAAAACACTGTGAAATCACATAATATGAAAACTGCTTTGTAGAAACAGTGGAGTGGACTGTAGTCTGGTACCCTTTGATTGCCTCCAAGGAGTTCTTGTCATTCTCCTCGAGGAACACGTCAAACATGGCTGTGTCCTCGTCTAGAAATGTCTCTGCCTGCTGCATCCTGTTCTCCTCTTTGGTGGCAATCTCGGCCAGCTTGTGAATCATCTCCCTCTTCACAGCCAGGGAGTACTGGGGAGAGAGGGTTAGAGGTCAGTGACCACAGGAAGGAAGGAGAGGAGAGACTTTGCGTTCAAAACAGAGAACAGGTCAAAGTAAGAACCGAGACGGAGAGGTTTTACTGTTGTGTTGGTGTAGCAATGGAAAGACAACAGGAAAGGTCACATTGAAGAGATAATTGCAATTTGCACTGAGGAACTACAAGTTCCCTTGAGGCAAACAGAGTCCTCAGTGAAGGAAGTGTCTGGAGGTTTGTCTGGCCTGGAGAGTGAGTCATCTCAGGAAATGTTAATGTCTGTGGCTCTGGGACTTGAGAGGGTGAAATGTGACGCCAGGGGACCTATTAGACATGCAGCTCGAAACCTGGGGATTGATGCCTTTCAAGTAAGCTACTGCCTCAAAGTGTTTTCATATTCATTTACCTATTTACTTTCACTGTAATGGTTAGGACTGGACAACAACAAGCATATCCTGATGTAATTTTTTTAAACATATTTTTATGAGGCTGTGGAAAGAAATAAGGGGCGAAAATGTGTGTTTTTAATGGAACAATGCGGGTTTTGTCGGAGCTTGGGTAATAGGTCAGACAAGCTTAGCTCAGGGAAACTTTGGGCAAATATAAACTGAGCCTTCGAGCAAAAAGGAGACGCACACGAAGCTGAACCAAGCCATGCGCTGTGTTACCAATAACAGCAATCATGCCTTTCTGTTTTTCCACTTACCTCATCTCCGAACTGATTTACGTATAAAGCAGCTTTTGTTGTTGTTATTAACTCTGAAGCTAAGAAGCCTTGTGGTTTGAAGGGTTAGAAAATATATACTCCAGTAGTGAAAACAATAATGCTGTGTTAACTTCTGTAAGGGCATTGATGTGTCTTTTGGGTTTTGTGAGTGAGAGACAGATATCATACATAACTGTACTGGGATTGGTTTGGTGTATGATGGGTTTGAAACAGTACTAAGCATTATGTAATTTCTTACCTCAGTGAGAAACATCTCTCTCTTCCTGGTGATGTACTCACGAATATTCTCCCTGTCATTGGACTCTGATGAGGGAACAAACTCTCATTGATTACTGCCTGTTCTTTTAGGATCAGACATCTGGACAGAACTTTTATGCTAACTCAAATACTTCAACACTAACTCAAATCCTTTAATGCTAACTCAAATACTTCAACACTAACTCAAATACTTCAACACTAACTCAAATACTTCAACACTAACTCAAATACTTCAACACTAACTCAAATACTTTAATGCTAGCTCAAATACTTTAATGCTAACTCAAATACTTTTATGCTGACTCAAATACTTTGAGGCTAACTGAAATACTTTAATGCTAACTTAAATACTTTTAGGCTAACTGAAATACTTTAATGCTAACTTAAATACTTTAATGCTAACTCAAATACTTTGAGCAAAGACAGGAGAGGGAATACATATGAAATCCGTTGACTTTTAATACAGGACTGTCTTCGTTCTCTTCTCTAAATGGCTAGGATTAGAATTAGGATTAGGATTAGGAGAGCGGGTCCAATATGAGAGGGCACGTTCTCTCTAGAGCATCGTAACAGTAACACAAAACACTTTTTTGTCTTGAAAAACAGCAGTAGCTAAGTAATCCTGATGAGTGAGGAAACGTATCAATTAAAGAGACATTTCAGAATGGAAGTGGAGAAAGTCAAAGTTGCAGGTCCGTTATGATATTCTGAGAGAGCAACTTGGCATGTATAAGGCAATTAGAAATGCCAGACGGGCTTAGTTAAAGTGGTAAATGATCTTAGAGCCAACACAGACGCCAACAGCTCTCTGTCCTTGTACTCTTGGATTTAAGTGCTGCGTTCGACACTGTTGATCATGATGTCCTTCTGGACAGACTGGAGAAGTGGGTTGGCCTCTCTGGTCCAGTTCTAAATTGGTTTAGGACCTATTTAACTGGTCGAGAGTTTTTTGTCACCCCCAGTGAACATAACTCAGAGCAAATATATATCACGTGGCGTTCCACAACCTTTGATTTTGGGTCCGGTACTGTTCAGTTTATACTGTATATGTTAGCCCTTGGCAGCGTTATCAGAAAGCACAGCATTGATTTTCATTGCTACGCAGACAATACACACCTTTACATTTCTGTGTCACCAGAGAATTTTAGCTCCACGGATAAATTATTAGACTGTATTAGTGATTTAAATACTTGGATGGCTCACAACTCCCTCCAGCTAAATCAAGACAAGACCAAGGTATTTATTGTTGGAGCCAAAGCACAGAGCGAGAATCTGACTTCACATTTTAATTCAATGGCAATAAAGATAAAACACCAGGTAAAAAACCTAGGTGTCATTTTAGATTCTGAACTCAATTTCGAAATCACACATTAGGAATGTGACCAAAATAGCTTTTTACCACCTGCGTCCGTTTCTCTCTCGGGCTGATACAGAGAGACTCATCCATGCTTTTATTACAAGCAGGCTTGACTACTGTAATGGTCTCCTGTCTGGGCTACTGAAGAAAGCAATTGGTCAACTGCAAAACATACAGAATGCTGCAGCACGGGTCCTGACCAAGACCAGACGGAGAGCACACATTACGCCAGTTTTAAAGTCTCTGCACTGGCTGCCTGTGAGTTTTAGAATTAATTTTAAGATTCTTCTATTGGTTTTTAAATCAATCCACGATTGTGCACCCCAATACATGTCAGACATGCTTTTGAGTTATGTACCCAGTAGGTCCCTCAGGTCCTGTGGCACTGGCCTTTTAAATATCCCAAAGCCTAGGACCAAGAGGCATGAAGAGTCAGCCTGTAGTTATTATGCCCCCAGCCTCTGGAATAGCCTGCCAGAGAACCTGAGGGGGGCCGAATCTGTGGACATATTTAAAAGAGATCTTAAAACACACCTTTGTAGCTTTGCTTTTCCTCAGGGTGCTTTTTAGACATTCAGTTTTTATTGTTATTCTTTTGTTTTCTATCCTCTTATGTTTGTTGTCTAGTAAATATTTCAGTTTTTATTTTCATTGTTTTTTTATTTGGGTTTTTTCTGTGAAGCACATTGCGTTGCATTCCATGTCTGAAATGTGCTGTATAAATAAAGCTTAATATGATTTGATGATTTGATTTGGTCTTGCAAAACAACAGAGCATACATAATTTCATTATGCGTCAATAGTCAGATTCAATAACTTGTCAAGTTATCAACTTATCCTCAATGTCTCTGGGGCGAATCCTAGCTTCCACTTCCAAGTCGAATTTTCACTTAGTCGTGCATTGATGTCAATGGGAGAATAAGTGAAGATTTGACTTCAGTGGAAGTTAGGATTCGCCCCTCTGAGACGACAGTAAAAAGTCCCAGAGAAACATCATAGTATAGTGGTCATCAGAGCCATGTATTAGATAGTTTGGACATTGAGGTTTCTGCAATATGATGCATTTACATTACCTACATTCCATGGCAGCCATATTAGCTCCCCATGGGCAAAATTGACCAAAAGCAGTTCACAGAATGTTCTGAATTTTGAACAATGCTATGTACAAGATTCCAAATACTGAGAATGAATGGAATGCTCAAAGGTGCTAACATGGCCGCTGTTCTAAAAGTTGGCCGAACTCTCTAAATAAATGGCTCTGGTGGTCATGAAATGCCTGATGGACACTCACTCAGGACGGCAGCTTTCCTCCATGCCGGATCATCCCTGAGGGTGGACACAGCCTTGCTGCTGGAGGTGGGGTACATCTCATCCTGCCCCTGCCTCAGCTCCTGCCTCAGGTTAGCCTGCTTGGCTTGTATCCTCCCAGCGTAGGTGGACTTCTCATGGTCCTTCAGTATCTGCTGCCGCTGGTGCTCCTATGGTTCAGTACACAATTGAGAATGGTCAAGAATGGCATGTTGAAATATTGCACTGAGGAACAGAGTTTGGTCAAATATTATGGTCAGGTCCACAGTCACAGTGGAAAATGATCATGAGTGCAGTCAAACCCTGATAGAGTCAAACAGAGAATGTTCAAACACTATAGACGACACAACATGGCTTCTTCACCAGCTTCCTCTGTTCATTCTCCTTGTTTCTCAGGAGGAAGATGTTGTCTGCTGGGAGTTTGGAGGGGTTCCTCATCGCTGTCCGCACTTCTCTCTGTCTCTCTGCATAACCATACATAAACATTCCCATACTTTACACAACCGTACTGAACACTGTGGTTGTTGCCAGGTAAATACCAGAGAGATATATCTCTATATATCTCTAGTTGTCTATAGACACTAATGCACCAGGATGTCAGGTCACCTGAGACTGGAGGCTTGGTGTCACTGCAGGAGGTGAGAGGTCCTGCTAGTCTGAAGGCTGTCTGTTTCCCTGTAGATAGTGGGGGTTAGAGTGGAGGTTAGAATCAAATCAAATGTTATTTGTCACATGCGCCGAATACAACAGGTGTAGACTTTACCGTGAAATTCTTGCTTACAAGCCCTTCCCAACGATGTAGATTTTAACACAAGGAATAGTAACACGAGGAACACTGAATGTTGTAGCAGGAGGAGGTTGTCGGGTGAGGTCGTCGGGTAAGCTTGGCTTTATACATAGTTTGGGCTTTGTCGAGTAAAGCTTAAACTATGTATTTAGATTGTAGTTAGGTATTGTAGGTAGTTATCGTGGGTTGTTGTATGTAATTATTGTAGGTTAGTATTGTATTCGGCTGAGCCCGGTGAAGCACGAAGCTAGCTAGCTAACCCACTACCTGGACTAGCTGGCGGGTAGCTACTGGCAACTATTAGCAACGGTATAGTTGTTTCACACCTGAGAGTGCCTGTAGTTACGCCAGCTGGCTGCCTACAATAATTACATACAATAATTGCCTACCATTCAGCGGTTTTCTAACCTCATTGTCTGAACCGTTAACGTTAGGTAGTAAGTGGCTACTGTGCTTGAAATTTAGCTAGCTTGTTGCTACCTGGATAGCTACTAGTAAACAATAGCTGGAACGACCTAGCGAACAGACGCAAACTGGCTGAGTCAATTCAGTGGCTAGCTTTGCACTTGGCTAGCTAACAGTAGCTGCTAGGGGTAAGTCATAACCTACATTTGTGTTTTGTTTTTACATATTGGTAGCCAGAGTCGTTCAAGGAATTCGGGACATGGGTGACTAGTTAACGTTAGCTTGGCTCTCTCTGTGTGTTTGTGCCGTGAAAGGAGGGGTTTCTTCTTTGTCTGAAAGCAATGGCTAGCTAGTATGCTAACTATTCTAGCTAACTAACTGGCTGAATAAGTTGACGACGGACTCGCTCAAGCTGTCGGGACTAACCCACAACGTTAGACACGGACACGAACGATCTGCTTGGCGTGTTGACACACTGGTGGTTTGTTGTTGTCAGAACGACGTGTATGCGGTAGGCAAAGTCAAGAGCAGGACACCGAGCTACTGGCAGAAACTTTACTGGATTCAGTGCAACAAAACAAAGTACACTGGCAACCTCGAACAGTGAGGGAAATAACAAGACCCGCACACATAGGCAACTGCCGCGAAGACCAAAAACAATAACGCACAATACACAATGAGAAACAGAGGGTTATAAAGGGAACACAATAAAACATAATGGGAAACAGGTGTAAACAATAAAGACCAAACAAGACAAACATCGAAACATCGATCGGCAGCAGCTAGTACTCCGGGGACGACGAATGCCAAAGCCTGCCCGAGCAAGGAGGAGGAGCAGCCTCGGCTGAATCCGTGACAGTTGTGGCCGAGTATTGGTGCTAAACCGTGTTGTTGGAGTCCGGCATACTAGCTGGCTGTAGCGTCTTATGACTAGGTGCCCTGGACGATTTTCACGGAAGAATACTGTACCAAGTTAGCTAGCTGAATAAACTAAGTTAGTCTATTCCTAGAAAACATTGAACAGCTGTAGTTTACAACAATTATAGTTTCTGAGGTGGAAGTTGGGAGAGTTATATTTGGGTGTTGTGGTGAGGGAGGCCCCGCTCTCTCCTTTCCCAGATGTTTAGTTCATTTCATTCCGATCTCCTTTGCAATATTGTAGCCATTTTCTGCAGCCTGTCAACTATGCCTCTGTCTATCCCTGGATGGCTCACAACTCCCTCCAGCTAAATCAAGACAATACCAAGGTATTTATTGTTGGAGCCAAAGCACAGAGCGAGAATCTGACTTCACATTTTAATTCAATGGCAATAAAGATAAAACACCAGGTAAAAAACCTAGGTGTCATTTTAGATTCTGAACTCAATTTCGAAATCACACATTAGGAATGTGACCAAAATAGCTTTTTACCACCTGCGTCCGTTTCTCTCTTGGGCTGATATAGAGAGACTCATCCATGCTTTTATTACAAGCAGGCTTGACTACTGTAATGGTCTCCTGTCTGGGCTACTGAAGAAAGCAATTGGTCAACTGCAAAACATACAGAATGCTGCAGCACGGGTACTGACCAAGACCAGATGGAGAGCACACATTACGCCAGTTTTAAAGTCTCTGCACTGGCTGCCTGTGAGTTTTAGAATTAATTTTAAGATTCTTCTATTGGTTTTTAAATCAATCCACGATTGTGCACCCCAATACATGTCAGACATGCTTTTGAGTTATGTACCCAGTAGGTCCCTCAGGTCCTGTGGCACTGGCCTTTTAACTATCCCAAAGCCTAGGACCAATAGGCATGAAGAGTCAGCCTGTAGTTATTAAGCCCCCAGCCTCTGGAATAGCCTGCCAGAGAACCTGAGGGGGGCCGAATATGTGGACATATTTAAAAGAGATCTTAAAACACACCTTTGTATCTTTGCTTTTCCTCAGGGTGCTTTTTAGACATTCAGTGTGTATTGTTATTCTTTTGTTTTCTATCCTCTTATGTTTGTTGTCTAGTAAATATTTCAGTTTTTATTTTCATTGTTTTTTTATATGGGTTTTTTCTGTGAAGCACATTGCGTTGCATTCCATGTCTGAAATGTGCTGTATAAATAAAGCTTAATATGATTTGATGATTTGATTTGGTCTTGCAAAACAACAGAGCATACATAATTTCATTATGCGTCAATAGTCAGATTCAATAACTTGTCAAGTTATCAACTTATCCTCAATGTCTCTGGGGCGAATCCTAGCTTCCACTTCCAAGTCGAATTTTCACTTAGTCGTGCATTGATGTCAATGGGAGAATAAGTGAAGATTTGACTTCAGTGGAAGTTAGGATTCGCCCCTCTGAGACGACAGTAAAAAGTCCCAGAGAAACATCATAGTATAGTGGTCATCAGAGCCATGTATTAGATAGTTTGGACATTGAGGTTTCTGCAATATGATGCATTTACATTACCTACAATCCATGGCAGCCATATTAGCTCCCCCATGGGCAATATTGACCAAAAGCAGTTCACAGAATGTTCTGAATTTTAAACAATGCTATGTACAAGATTCTAAATACTGAGAATGAATGGAATGCTCAAAGGTGCTAACATGGCCGCTGTTCTAAAAGTTGGCCGAACTCTCTAAATAAATGGCTCTGGTGGTCATGAAATGCCTGATGGACACTCACTCAGGATGGCAGCTTTCCTCCATGCCGGATCATCCCTGAGGGTGGACACAGCCTTGCTGCTGGAGGTGGGGTACATCTCATCCTGCCCCTGCCTCAGCTCCTGCCTCAGGTTAGCCTGCTTGGCTTGTATCCTCCCAGCGTAGGTGGACTTCTCATGGACCTTCAGTATCTGCTGCCGCTGGTGCTCCTATGGTTCAGTACACAATTGAGAATGGTCAAGAATGGCATGTTGAAATATTGCACTGAGGAACAGAGTTTGGTCAAATATTATGGTCAGGTCCACAGTCACAGTGGAAAATGATCATGAGTGCAGTCAAACCCTGATAGAGTCAAACAGAGAATGTTCAAACACTATAGACGACACAACATGGTTTCTTCACCAGCTTCCTCTGTTCATTCTCCTTGTTTCTCAGGAGGAAGATGTTGCCTTCTGGGAGTTTGAAGGGATTCCTCATCGCTGTCCGCACTTCTCTCTGTCTCTCTGCATAACCATACATAAACATTCCCATACTTTACACAACCGTACTGAACACTGTGGTTGTTGCCAGGTAAATACCAGAGAGATATATCTCTATATATCTCTAGTTGTCTATAGACACTAATGCACCAGGATGTCAGGTCACCTGAGACTGGAGGCTTGGTGTCACTGCAGGAGGTGAGAGGTCCTGCTAGTCTGAAGGCTGTCTGTTTCCCTGTAGATAGTGGGGGTTAGAGTGGAGGTTAGAATCTAATCAAATTGTATTTGTCACATGCGCCGAATACAACAGGTGTAGACTTACAAGCCCTTCCCAACGATGTAGATTTTAACACAAGGAATAGTAACATGAGGAACACTGAATGTTGTAGCAGGAGGAGGTTGTCGGGTGAGGTCGTCGGGTAAGCTTGGCTTTATACATAGTTTGGGCTTTGTCGAGTAAAGCTTAAACTATGTATTTAGATTGTAGTTAGGTATTGTAGGTAGTTATCGTGGGTTGTTGTATGTAATTATTGTAGGTTAGTATTGTATTCGGCTGAGCCCGGTGAAGCACGAAGCTAGCTAGCTAACCCACTACCTGGACTAGCTGGCGGGTAGCTACTGGCAACTATTAGCAACGGTATAGTTGTTTCACACCTGAGAGTGCCTGTAATTACGCCAGCTGGCTGCCTACAATAATTACATACAATAATTGCCTACCATTCAGCGGTTTTCTAACCTCATTGTCTGAACCGTTAACGTTAGGTAGTAAGTGGCTACTGTGCTTGAAATTTAGCTAGCTTGTTGCTACCTGGATAGCTACTAGTAAACAATAGCTGGAACGACCTAGCGAACAGACGCGAACTGGCTGAGTCAATTCAGTGGCTAGCTTTGCACTTGGCTAGCTAACAGTAGCTGCTAGGGGTAAGTCATAAACTACATTTGTGTTTTGTTTTTACATATTGGTAGCCAGAGTCGTTCAAGGAATTCGGGACATGGGTGACTAGTTAACGTTAGCTTAGCTCTCTCTGTGTGTTTGTGCCGTGAAAGGAGGGGTTTCTTCTTTGTCTGAAAGCAATGGCTAGCTAGTATGCTAACTATTCTAGCTAACTAACTGGCTGAATAAGTTGACGACGGACTCGCTCAAGCTGTCGGGACTAACCCACAACGTTAGACACGGACACGAACGATCTGCTTGGCGTGTTGACACACTGGTGGTTTGTTGTTGTCAGAACGACGTGTATGCGGTAGGCAAAGTCAAGAGCAGGACACCGAGCTACTGGCAGAAACTTTACTGGATTCAGTGCAACAAAACAAAGTACACTGGCAACCTCGAACAGCGAGGGAAATAACAAGACCCGCACACATAGGTAACTGCCGCGAAGACCAAAAACAATAACGCACAATACACAATGAGAAACAGAGGGTTATAAAGGGAACACATTAAAACATAATGGGAAACAGGTGTAAACAATAAAGACCAAACAAGACAAACACCGAAACATCGATCGGCAGCAGCTAGTACTCCGGGGACGACGAACGCCAAAGCCTGCCCGAGCAAGGAGGAGGAGCAGCCTCGGCTGAATCAGTGACAGTTGTGGCCGAGTATTGGTGCTAAACCGTGTTGTTGGAGTCCGGCATGCTAGCTGGCTGTAGCGTCTTATGACTAGGTGCCCTGGACGATTTTCACGGAAGAATACTGTACCAAGTTAGCTAGCTGAATAAACTAAGTTAGTCTATTCCTAGAAAACATTGAACCGCTGTAGTTTACAACAATTATAGTTTCTGAGGTGGAAGTTGGGAGAGTTATATTTGGGTGTTGTGGTGAGGGAGGCCCCGCTCTCTCCTTTCCCAGATGTTTAGTTCATTTCATTCCGATCTCCTTTGCATTATTGTAGCCATTTTCTGCAGCCTGTCAACTATGCCTCTGTCTATCCCTGTTCTCTCCTCTCTGCACAGGCTATACAAATGCCTCATACCGCGTGGCTGCTGCCTCTCTAACCTGGTGGTCCCTGCACGCACCACCCACGTGGAGTTCCAGGTCTCAGGCAGCCTCTGGAACTGCCGTTCTGCTGCCAACAAGGCAGAGTTCATCTCAGCCTATGCTACCCTCCAGTCCCTCGACTTCTTGGCACTGACGGAAACATGGATTACCACTGAAAACATTGCTACTCCTACTGCTCTCTGCTCGTCTGACCATGTGTTCTCGCATACCCCGAGAGCATCTGGTCAGTGGGGTGGTGGCACAGGAATCCTCATCTCTCCCAAGTGGACATTCTCTATTTTTCCCCTGACCCATCTGTCTATCTCCTCATTTGAATTCCATGCTGTCACAGTCACTAGCCCATTTAAGCTTAATATCCTTGTCATTTATCGCCCTCCAGGTTCCCTTAGAGAGTTCATCAATGAGCTTGACGCCTTGATAAGTTCCTTTCCTGAGGATGGCTCACCCCTCTCAGTTCTGGGGGACTTCAACCTCCCTACGTCTACCTTTGACTCATTTCTCTCTGCCTCCTTCTTTCCACTCCTCTCCTCTTTTGACCTCACCCTCTCACTGTCCCCCCCTACTCACAAGGCAGGCAATACGCTTGACCTCATCTTTACTAGATGCTGTTCTTCTACTAATCTCACTGCAACTCCCCTCCATGTCTCCGACCACTACTTTATTTCCTTTTCTCTCTCGCTCTCCTCCAACACTACTCACTCTGCCCCTACTCAGATGGTAATGCGCCATCGCAACCTTCGCTCTCTCTCCCGCTACTCTCTCCTCTTCCATCCTATCATCTCTTCCCTCTGCTCAATCCTTCTCCCTCCAATCTCCTGATTCTGCCTCCTCAACCCTCCTCTCCTCCCTTTCTGCATCCTTTGACTCTCTATGTCCCCTATCCTCCCGGCCGGCTCGGTCCTCCCCTCCAGCTCCGTGGCTTGATGACTCATTGCGAGCTCACAGAACAGGGCTCCGGGCAGCCGAGCAGAAATGGAGGAAAACTAGACTCCCTGCGGACCTGGCATCTTTTCACTCCCTCCTCTCTACATTTTCTTCATCTGTTTCTGCTGCTAAGGCCACTTTCTACCACTCTAAATTCCAAGCATCTGCCTCTAACCCTAGGAAGCTCTTTGCCACCTTCTCCTCCCTGCTGAATCCTCCTCCCCCTCCCCCCTCCTCCCTGTCTGTGGATGACTTCGTCAACCATTTTGAAAAGAAGGTTGACGACATCTGATCTTCGTTTGTTAAGTCAAATGACACTGCTGGTCCTGCTCACACTGCCCTACCCTATGCTTTGACTTCTTTCTCCCCTCTCTCTCCAGATAAAATCTTGCGACTTGTGACGGCCGGTCGCCCAACAACCTGCCCGCTTGACCCTATCCCCTCCTCTCTTCTCCAGACCATCTCTGGTGACCTTCTCCCTTACCTCACCTCGCTGATCAACTCATCCTTGACCGCTGGCTATGTCCCTTCCGTCTTCAAGAGAGCAAGAGTTGCACCCCTTCTCAAAAAACCAACACTCGATCCCTCTGATGCCAACAACTACAGACCAGTATCTCTTCTTTCTTTTCTCTCCAAAACTATTGAGCGTGCCGTCTTTAGCCAACTCTCTTGCTATCGCTCTCAGAATTACCTTCTTGATCCAAACCAGTCAGGTTTCAAGACTGGTCATTCAACTGAGACTGCTCTTCTCTGTGTCACGGAGGATCTCCGCACTGCTAAAGCTAACTCTCTCTCCTCTGCTCTTGTCCTTCTAGACCTGTCTGCTGCCTTTGATACTGTGAACCATCAGATCCTCCTCTCCACCCTCTCCGAGCTGGGCATCTCCGGCGCGGCTCACTCTTGGATTGCGTCCTACCTGACCGGTCGCTCCTACCAAGTGGCGTGGTGAGAAGCTGTCTCCACACCATGTGCTCTCACCACTGGTGTCCCCCACGGCTCAGTTCTAGGCCCTCTCCTATTCTCGCTATACACCAAGTCACTTGGCTCTGTCATATCCTCACATGGCCTTTCCTATCATTGCTACGCAGACGACACACAACTAATCTTCTCCTTTCCCCCTTCTGATAACCAGGTGGCGAATCGCATCTCTGCATGTCTGGCAGACATATCTGTATGGATGACGGATCACCACCTCAAGCTGAACCTTGGCAAGACGGAGCTGCTCTTCCTCCCGGGGAAGGACTGCCCGTTTCATGATCTCGCCATCACGGTTGACAACTCTGTTGTGTCCTCCTCCCAGAGTGCGAAGAGCCTTGGCGTGACCCTGGACAACACCCTGTCGTTCTCCGCTAACATCAAGGCGGTGACCCGATCCTGTAGGTTCATGCTCTACAACATTCGGAGAGTACGACCCTATTTTACACAGAAAGCGGCACAGGTCCTAATCCAGGCACTTGTCATCTCCCGTCTGGATTACTGCAACTTGCTGTTGGCTGGGCTCCCTGCCTGTGCCATTAAACCCCTACAACTCATCCAGAATGCCGCAGCCCGTCTGGTGTTCAACCTTCCCAAGTTCTCTCACGTCACCCCGCTCCTCCACACACTCCACTGGCTTCCAGTTGAAGCTCGCATCTGCTACAAGACCATGGTGCTTGCCTACGGAGCTGTGAGGGGAACGGCACCTCCGTACCTTCAGGCTCTGATCAGTCCCTTCACCCAAACGAGGGCATTGCGTTCATCCACCTCTGGCCTGCTGGCTCCCCTACCTCTGCAGAAGCACAGTTCCCGCTCAGCCCAGTCAAAACTGTTCGCTGCTCTGGCACCCCAATGGTGGAACAAGCTCCCTCATGATGCCAGGACAGCGGAGTCACTCACCACCTTCCGGAGACATTTGAAACCCCACCTCTTAAAGGAATACCTGGGATAGCATAAAGTAATCCTTCTACCCCCCCCCTTACCCCACCCCACCCCCCCCCCCCCCCCCCCCCCCCCCCCCAAAAAAAAAAAAAAACATTGTAAAGTGGTTATCCCACTGGCTATAAGGTGAATGCACCAATTTGTAAGTCGCTCTGGATAAGAGCGTCTGCTAAATGACGTAAAGGTAAATGGAAATGGAAATCAATAAAATACACAATGGAGCTATATAGAGGGAGTACCAGTACCATATCAATGTTCAGAGGTATCAGGTATTTGAGGTAGATACAGTGCTTTGCAAAATTATTCATCCCCCTGTCACGTTCGTTCATCGACGGGACGGACCAAGGCGCAGCGTGATATGCATACATGTTTATTTATACTGAATAAACACCACGACAAAACAACAAATGAAACGAAACGTGAAGTCCAAGGTAAACAAACAACATACCTCACACGGAACAAGATCCCACAACCCACTAGTGCCAAAAGGCTGCCTAAGTATGGTCCCCGATCAGAGACAACGAGCGACAGCTGCCTCTGATTGGGAACCACACAGGCCAACATAGATCTATACATCCTAGAATGTACAACATGGAAAAACACAGCAAGGAAAATACACACCCTGACTCAACATACAAGCGTCCTCTGAGTCAGGGCGTGACACCCCCTTGGCATTTTTTCTATTTTGTTGCATTACAACCTGTAATTTCAATGGATTTTTATTTGGATTTCATGTAATGGACATACACAAAATAGTGAAATAAAAAAAATAACTTGATTCAAAAAATAAATAACGGAAAAGTGGTGCGTGCATATGTATTCACCCCCTTTGCTATGAAGCCCCTAAATAAGATCTGGTGTAACCAATTACCTTCAGAAGTCACATAATTAGTTAGATGGCACACAAGTGCTTTATTTAAGTGTCACATGATCTGTCACATGATCTCAGTATATATACACATGTTATGAAAGGCCCCAGAGTCTGCAACACCACTAAGCAAGGGGCAACACCAAGCAAGCGGCACCATGAAGACGAAGGAGCTCTCCAAGCAGGTCAGGGTCAAAGTTGTGGAGAAGTACAGTTCAGGGTTGAGTTATATAACAATATCCGAAACTTTGAACATCCCACAGAGCACCATTAAATCCATTATAAAAATTTTGAAAGAATATGGCACCACAACAAACCTGCCAAGAGAGGGCAGCCCACCAAAACTCACGGACCAAGCAAGGAGGGCATTAGTCAGAGAGGCAACAAAGACACCAAAAATAACCCTGAATGAGCTGTAAAGCTCCACAGCGGAGATTGGAGTATCTGTCCATAGGACCACTTTAAGCAGTGCACTCCACAGACCTGGGATTTACAGAAGAGTGGCCAGAAAAAAGCCATTGCTTAAAGAAAAGAATAAGCAAACACGTTTGGTGTTCGCCCAAAGGCATGTAGGAGACTCCCCAAACATATGGAAGAAGGTACTCTGGTCAGATGAGACTAAAATTTAGCTTTTTGGCCATCAAGGAAAACGCTATGTCTGGCGCAAACCCAACACCTCCCATCACCCCGAGAACACCATCCCCACAGTGAAGCATGGTGGTGGCAGCATCATGCTGTGGGAATGTTTTTCATCGGCAGGGACTGGGAAACTGGTCAGAATTGAAGAAATGATGGATGGCGCTAAATACAGGGAAATTCTTGAGGAAAACGTGTTTCAGTCTTCAGGAGATTTGAGACTTGGACGGAGGTTCACCTTCCAGCAGGACAATGACCCTAAGCATACTGCTAAAGCAACACTCAAGTGGTTTAAGGAGAAACATTTAAATGTCTTGGAATGGTCTAGTCAAAGCCCAGACCTCAATCCAATTGAGAATCTGTGGTATGACTTAAAGATTGCTGTACACCAGCGGAACCCATCCAACTTGAAGGAGCAGGAGCAGTTTTGCCTTGAAGAATGGGCAAAAATCCCAGTGGCTAGATGTGCCAAGCTTATAGAGACATACCCCCAAGAGACTTGCAGCTGTAATTGCTGCAAAAGGTGGCTCTACAAAGTATTGACTTTGGGGGGGGGGGGGGGGTGAATAGTTATGTACGCTCAAGTTTTCTGTTTTTTTGTCTTATTTCTTGTTTGTTTCACAATAAAAAATATTTTGCATCTTCAAAGTGGTAGGCATGTTGTGTAAATCAAATGATACAACCCCCAAAAAATCTATTTTAATTCCAGGTTGTAAGGCAACAAAATAGGAAAATGCCAATGGGGGTGAATACTTTCGCAAGCCACTGTATGTACATAAAGGCAGGGTAAAGTGAAGTGGCGTCAGGATAGATAATAATAAGGCATTTTAGGTAGATATGTACATGAAGGCAGGGAAAAGTGACTAGGCATCAGGATAGATAATAATAAGGTTTTTGAGGTACAGTGGGGAGAACAAGTATTTGATACACTGCCGATTTTGCAGGTTTTCCTACTTACAAAGCATGTAGAGGTCTGCAAATTTTATCATAGGTACACTTCAACTGTGAGAGACGGAATCTAAAATGAAAATCCACACTTTGTATGAACATTGTATGATTTTTAAGTAATTAATTTGCATTTTATTGCATGACATAAGTATTTGATCACCTACCAACCAGTAAGAATTCCGGCTCTCACAGACCTGTTGGTTTTTCTTTAAGAAGCCACATTTACATTTACATTTACGTCATTTAGCAGATGCTCTTATCCAGAGCGACTTACAAATTGGTGCATTCACCCTATAGCCAGTGGGTTACCCACTTTACAATAATATATATATTTTTTTCATCTTTTATTTTTTTTATTATTTTTTTTGGGGGGGGGGGGGGGGTAGAAGGATTACTTTATCCTATCCCAGGATTACTTTATCCAAGCCCTCCTGTTCTCCACTTATTACCTGTATTAACTGCACCTGTTTGAACTCGTTACCTGTATAAAATACACCTGTCCACACACTCAATCAAACAGACTCCAACCTCTCCACAATGGCCAAGACCAGAGAGCTGTGTAAGGACATCAGGGATAAAATTGTAGACCTGCACAAGGTTGGGATGGGCTACAGGACAATAGGCAAGCAGCTTGGTGAGAAGGGCAACAACTGTTGGCGCAATTATTAGAAAATTGAAGAAGTTCAAGATGACGGTCAATCACCCTCGGTCTGGGGCTCCATGCAAGATCTCACCTCGTGGGGCATCAATGATCATGAGGAAGGTGAGGGATCAGCACAGAACTACACGGCAGGACCTGGTCAATGACCTGAAGAGAGCTGGGACCACAGTCTCAAAGAAAACCATTAGTAACACACTATGCCGTCATGGGTTAAAATCCTGCAGCGCACGCAAGGTTCCCCTGCTCAAGCCAGCGCATGTCCAGGCCCGTCTGAAGTTTGCCAATGACCATCTGGATGATCCAGAGGAGGAATGGGAGAAGGTCATGTGGTCTGATGAGACAAAAATAGAGCTTTTTGGTCTAAACTCCACTCGCCGTGTTTGGAGGAAGAAGAAGGATGAGTACAACCCCAAGAACACCATCCCAGCCGTGAAGCATGGAGGTGGAAACATCATTCTTTGGGGATGCTTTTCTGCAAAGGGGACAGGACGACTGCACCGTATTGAGGGGAGGATGGATGGGGCCATGTATCGCGAGATCTTGGCCAACAACCTCCTTCCCTCAGTAAGAGCATTGAAGATGGGTCGTGGCTGGGTCTTCCAGCATGACAACGACCCGAAACACACAGCCAGGGCAACTAAGGAGTGGCTCCGTAAGAAGCATCTCAAGGTCCTGGAGTGGCCTAGCCAGTCTCCAGACCTGAACCCAATAGAAAATCTTTGGAGGGAGCTGAAAGTCCATATTGCCCAGCGACAGCCCCACAACCTGAAGGATCTGGAGAAGGTCTGTATGGAGGAGTGGCCCAAAATCCCTGCTGCAGTGTGTGCAAACCTGGTCAAGACCTACAGGAAACGTATTTACATTTTAGTCATTTAGCAGACGCTCTTATCCAGAGCGATTTACAGTTAAGCGAGTACATACATTTTCATACTGGCCACCCGTGGGAATCGAACCCACAACCCTGGCATTGCAAACGCCATGCTCTACCAACTGAGCTACATCCCTGCCGGCCATTCCCTCCCCTACCCTGGACGACGCTGACTAATTGTGCGCCGCCCCATGGGTCTCCCGATCGCGGCCAGCTACGACAGAGTCTGGATTCAAACCAGGATCTCTAGTGGCACAGCTAGCACTGTGATGCAGTGCCTTACACCACTGTGCCACTCGGGAGACGTATGATCTCTGTAATTGCAAACAAAGGTTTCTGTACCAAATATTAAGTTCTGCTTTTCTGATGTATCAAATACTTATGTCATGCAATAAAATGCAAATTAGTTACTTAATCATACAATGTGATTTTCTGGATTTTTGTTTTAGATTCCGTCTCTCACAGTTGAAGTGTACCTATGATAAAAATTACAGACCTCTACATGCTTTGTAAGTAGGAAAACCTGCAAAATCGGCAGTGTATCAAATACTTGTTCTCCCCACTGTAGATATGTACATGAAGGCTGGGTAAAGTGACAAGGCATCAGGATAGATAATAATAAGGTATTTGGGGTAGATATGTACATGAAGGCAGGGTACTAGGCATCAGGATAGATAATAATAAGGTATTTGAGGTAGATATGTACATGAAGGCAGGGTAAAGTGACTAGGCATCAGGATAGATAATAATACGGTATTTGAGGTAGATATGTACATGAAGGCAGGGTAAAGTGACTAGGCATCAGGATAGATAATAATAAGGTATTTTAGGTAGATATGTACATGAAGGCAGGGTAAAGTGACTAGGCATCAGGATAGATAATAATACGGTATTTGAGGTAGATATGTACATGAAGGCAGGGTAAAGTGACTAGGCATCAGGATAGATAATAATAAGGTATTTGAGGTAGATATGTACATGAAGGCAGGGTAAAGTGACTAGGCATCAGGATAGATAATAATAAGGTATTTGAGGTAGATATGTACATGAAGGCAGGGTAAAGTGACTAGGCATCAGGATAGATAATAATACGGTATTTGAGGTAGATATGTACATGAAGGCAGGGTAAAGTGACTAGGCGTCAGGATAGATAATAATAAAGTATTTGAGGTAGATATGTACATGAAGGCAGGCTAAAGTGACTAGGCATCAGGATAGATAATAATAAGGTATTTGAGGTAGATATGTACATGAATGCAGGGTAAAGTGACTAGGCATCAGGATAGATAATAATAATAAAGTATTTGAGGTAGATATGTACATGAAGGCAGGGTAAAGTGACTAGGCGTCAGGATAGATAATAATAAGGTATTTGAGGTAGATATGTGTCAGTAGCTGAGTGTAGATGCGGTGAGGAAATCAAGCGCAGGAAACACGGGCGTTCGTCAACAGACTTTAGTTAACAAAATGCAGCACCAAACAGGCGAACAGCCAACCCAACCGGGAGGCAAAATACAAATTACGCACAACACACAGAGTGCGTAAAATGAAGATAGCGCACACAGTGCGGACTCTCGGAAAACAACAAACACGAGAGTAATACAAAAAGAGCAACAGCTTGACAATAAACAATACCACATAACACCTGCCCCCACACACGAAAACTAAATAGGCAACCAAATCAAACACTAACAAGGGACAGGTGTACAAACAGACAAAACCAAACAAAAATGAAACATCGAACGGTGGCAGCTAGTACTCCGGGGACGACAACCGCCGAAGCCTGCCCGAACAAGGAGGAGGAGCAGCCTCGGCCGAAACCGTGACAATATGTACATGAAGGCAGGCTAAAGTGACTAGGCATCAGGATAGATAATAATAAGGTATTTGAGGTAGATATGTACATGAAGGCAGGCTAAAGTGACTAGGCATCAGGATAGATAGTAATAAGGTATTTGAGGTAGATATGTACATGAAGGCAGGGTAAAGTGACGAGGCATCAGGATAGATAATAATAATAAGGTATTTGAGGTAGATATGTACATGAAGGCAGGGTAAAGTGACTAGGCATCAGGATAGATAATAATAAGGTATTTTAGGTAGATATGTACATGAAGGCAGGGTAAAGTGACTAGGCATCAGGATAGATAATAATTTCGGTATTTGAGGTAGATATGTACATGAAGGCAGAGGTAAAGTGGGCGAGGGCATCAGGATAGATATAATAATAAGGTATTTTAGGTAGATATGTACATGAAGGCAGGGTAAGGACTAGGCATCAGGATAGATAATAATAAGGTATTTTAGGTAGATATGTACATGAAGGCAGGGTAAAGTGACTAGGCCAGGATAGATAATAATACGGTATTTGGGGTAGATATGTACATGAAGGGAGGGTAAAGTGAAATAGGCATCAGGATAGATAATAATAAGGTATTTAGGTAGATAGTAATGAAGGCAGGGTAAAGTGACTAGGCATCAGGATTGATAATAATAAGGTTTTTTTAGGTATAATATGTACATGAAAGGGAGGGTAAAGTGGGCTAGGCATCAGGTAGATAATTAATACGGTATTTGAGGGGAGATAGTGACATGAAGGCAGGGTTAAAATGAATAGGATAGGATAGATAATAATAAGGTATTTGAGGTAGATATGTACATGAAGGCAGGGTAAAGTGACTAGGCATCAGGATAGATAATAATAAGGTATTTGAGGTAGATATGTACATGAAGGCAGGGTAAAGTGACTAGGCATCAGGATAGATAATAATAAGGTATTTGAGGTAGATATGTACATGAAGGCAGGGTAAAGTGACTAGGCATCAGGATAGATAATAATAAGGTATTTGAGGTAGATATGTACATGAAGGCAGGGTAAAGTGACTAGGCGTCAGGATAGATAATAATAAGGTATTTGAGGTAGATATGTACATGAAGGCAGGGTAAAGTGACTAGGCATCAGGATAGATAATAATAAGGTATTTGAGGTAGATATGTACATGAAGGCAGGGTAAAGTGACTAGGCATCAGGATAGATAATAATAATAAGGTATTTGAGGTAGATATGTACATGAAGGCAGGGTAAAGTGACTAGGCATCAGGATAGATAGTAATAAGAGTAAAATAAAGAAAATTAACAGTAGCAGCATGTGATGAGTGTAAAACTGTGTGAGTGTGTGTAAGTGAGGTTTTGGTTGAGAAAACTGGTTAGGGTACCAATTATTTCGTCCTATTTACATGATAGTTAGCAGCATAGGGAATAGTGTAATTACAGTGTTACAGAGTAGCTTACTTATAACTGTTGTACCTACCTGTTTGTGCAAACTGCTGTTTTAAACAATAGCAAAGCAGGCACCCGGCACTGTTTTGGTAAAAAGCTAATCAATGGGGCTGGAGAAATGTAACCAAATTCATAGAGATCCATGATTTAAAAAATGATCGTTTTAACCATGTTTTGAAGGTATACAGTGTTTGTTTACAATGACATTGTTTAAAAACATTGGAGTAAAACAATCTTATATTTTGGGTTCTGATGGGGTACGACAGTTGAACTAAGATCATGAGGAATTTATAAGTGATATTCTAGAATCAATTGCTATATATCATTACTTTAAAAGACACAAATATTTATGTAACAACTGCTGATTGACCCTTTAGTGGAACTACACATTGCCTTTTTATATGCGTTCATTTCGAAAACTGTTCTATCTAGAACCACCTTCACCCTAGAATCACTTCACCAGCATTTGCCCTGGTTTTAGATTCTATTCTATTCTACAGTCATCGCGCACATTGCCTACTGTAGTGACACTGCGCGTCAAACACAGTAGACGTCTTTATCACTTACTATAAATTGCTGGGAGTCTGTCTTCGATGCTGTCCGGGGACTCAGCGCCCGCGGTATCCTTCACCGACATCTCTTCTTGAGCATCCATGAAGAAAAGTCAATTACATTGGCCAGTATGGATTCTAATCGTTCGAGTCCAATTATGCAAATATTCTACTGCTAGGTTATCATCCTCTGTTGCACAGCCTAAATGGCGGCCTTTATTCTTTAAATAGGCTAATTCTTTAAATAGGCTAATGCAAGTCATTTATTGAAAACGATAGCCTACCTTACTTTGTGAAGTTGTTGTTATGCTCCTATAAATAATAATGACTTTTTGAAAAAAATACACTATTTAGAAAATGTCTTCATAGACTAAGGCTATCTGTTGAATATTGATTATGACACATCTCACTGGCGACCCGGGCATATATGTAAACATTTTGGAATACGGATTTGGCAATCGGCGTGACATAGCTGGAGCGTCACAATTGATCAAGATGTAGAGGTAAGTGAGCTAACCCGACAACAACCGATCTGATGGATGGCAGTGAACCTGTCTGGCATAGGTAGTCTGCAATGAATAGGTTGGATGTTGGCTACCTGTTGAGTGAGAATTAGGCCTAGGCAGTCGCACTTTATCGAACGTTAGGCTATAGTTCAATAAGTAAGGGTTGTCAATAATGGTTTTATATGGTTTATTTTCCCCATGATAGAAAGCGAATTCTATGGTTGCCTTCCTTGTTTGAAATGGTAATTCTAGAACGTTCTGCATTCTGGAATGCTAAATTTGCATAATTCCTTCTCCACTGTAGCCATATGCCTAGGGCTAATCCTATTCTGCTGTTTTACCTGAATATTATATGTAGTAAATATTACAGTTTTTAAAAATCGCTTTGGTACTATTTTCACAAGTACTGTATGTGGTACATGATGTAAATGTAAATGTACATTTTCACAACTCTTAGTACAGAACTCCAAACTGGTCACACTTATAATGTAGCCAGTCTTTCATTCAAAACCTGTCATTTTGCATTAATTTGGATTGTAAACATCTCTCACCACACAACCATTGATTCAAAATATAAGTTTATTGCGAAATGTAATGAGAACATTGGTTTAATCACCAAAACACAACATAATGATACATTTTCAATTTTGTCGTTTGAACTACCAGTTAATCCAATAGCAAACAATGCAAGATACTCAGATCGCCCTTAGAAGTGAATAATATAATATGCTACAGTAATAATAATAATAATAATAATAATAATAATAATAATAATAATAAGCCATTTATTGTAGGGTACAAGGGGGTAGCTAGCCTCCTGGGGTAAATTTCTAAATGAAACTGATTAAATGGATTTTAACACACTTGTGTGAAACCCTATGCCATAATCTTCTAGTGGGGTAACTGGCACCCCGGGGGTCTGGGACTCCCTTACGTCTCGGCTTGCTCTTCAGGTGGTTCTTCCTCCCCTCTACAGACCCAGATTCCGACCCAGCACCTGCAGCAGACCCAACATTTCATGAAATAACTAAAAAAGTGTAAACTGTAGCCATTTATTTCCCTTTATAGTTTATTTGCCTAAGCATGACCTTCATCCACATAGCAATTTCTTTCTCCAAACGTTGCTTTTTTGTGTCAGCAATTAGACATTGCTAGTTACCCCCTGATACCCTAAATTACAGTAGATTACACCGTTTTCACATTTGGCAATACACTTACATTACCCAACAAAATTGACAGAAATTTGTGTAATCAAAGGTGTGATCAATCATTCATGCAAAAAAATACATAGGTGTACTGTCTGTAATCCAATGTAAAACATTTTTTTTTTTACAAATTAAATGAATGAAAATAAAACAGAATGTTTGCAGGCATTAATTTGCATCAAGCCTGTCTTGAGACATACATTCTCAACCACATCACAGTGAATGTCCTTATCGTTCCTGCACCGCGGGAATGATTTTTTTTGGCATGGCGAATCCAAGCTTGACATTGGTCTGCATTGATGTTGTCGCATGCCTCATCCATTTGACGGCCCATGCCCACCTCTTTGATGGGGCCCATGCCCACCTCTTTAACGGAGCCCATGCCCACCTCTCTGATGGGCCCCTTCTCCTCTTTAATCTCTTCCTCTCCCTTGCTGTCTATCCTGCTCCATGTTGAAAGAAATTGCAAGTGTTCACACACACCCTTTTATATGGTGACCAATTGTGGTTAACATTATGTGAAATCAATTAACAATAATGAGTAGTCATTATGTATGGTTATCATGTATCATACATATCATTTAGGTGTTTATACTTTACAAATACATTTTATTTCTGTAGATCTCAAAATCCATATATAATAGACAAACCAGTTAAAAATCTATAGGTTAACCAAACGGTTAAGTGATTAACCATTAAGCGCAGTTGGATTAAGTGATCATCAAATATATTTAAACAAATGAGAAGAGAATCATATGAAAGTGTTGTGAGCGTTGCATTGTGAAAGGCAATTACTTTATATGAAAGGTATTTCTAGCTGAAACACTGATTAGATTTGGTGAAAAAATTACTATGTAGTTGTGTGTGTTGTACTTAGTCAATTGAAAAAAAAAAAAAAATGCTTTTTTGATGATCTGTTTTGAATTTTGTACTGAGTTGTGAAATTTTACCACATACTTGGGGAAATAGTACCGAAGTAAAATTTCACAACTCTTAGTACAAAATTCATAACAGATCATCAAAAAAGCTATTTTTTCTAAACTGTATTTGTTCATTTAGCCTATATATGTGTGCACTCAACCTTTCCAAATCATG